AGGCGGAGAGGGAGTCCGGTGGGGATCTCCACCTGGTTGGCGCAGTTCCTCATCCACCCCGAGCGAGCGTGACCTTCAGATGCCGGGTGTTGAAGGCTGGGTGGGGTCCGTGAAGAGAGGCCCTCGCGGCGCGCACTCTCTGTGCCCGGAGGGACAGATACTCAGTCGTCCTTACTGACGGAGACCCAAAACTCTGAATGTCCCCCAGTCTCTCCAGCGGCTGGAAAGGTTGCTCCACTCCTCTGCGTCGGTTCACCTGGCAATTTCTTGGAAAATAATTCCCCTTTTTAAGGTCTGTTTGTCATTGATTGTGTTTGTCCTGAGTCCTAAGGACCACCGCTCATTGACCAAAAAACAAAGAGCCAGAGAGCTGTCAGTGAAGGGGTGGAATGACATATGCATCTCTCCTACCCAGTGTCCGGTGTTTTTTTTTAAATCCCTCCTACCCCCCCGCCCCATTCACAATCTGTAGTGCTATTAATAGTAACACAACTACCATATATCAACACAAACAATAAATTTTTTGTATTATCCCAGTTTAAGAGGTAAATAGGGGAGAATTGTATTAATCGTGACACTTCAGAGTCGAAAGAAGCTTTAGAGGTCACCTAATGCAAACCTGTTGCCTAAATTTTTTCAACTACATCCATATCAACCATTTTCTAACGTGTGCTGGAATACCTCCCGTCACTAGGGGAGAGAGAAACTGATATTTATTGATCATCAACTAAATGCTGTGAATTTTGTTTTCTAATCATATTTTTTTAAAACTTTTTTATATGTAATAGGCCAGAAAAGCTCATATTACTTTTATTTTTGATAACTTTGTTCTGTTATATAAGCAATACAAATAACGTAATAAAATCAAGTAATAAAAATTTAAATTACATAAGCAAAAAGAAATGACTATATATGCACATATATGTGTATGTATATATGATATATATGGGTTTATGTATGTATAAAATATTTTTAAATAAAAACTGGACTATAGCATGCAGAGTATTTAGTTTCCTGTTTTCCTCAGTTACAGTGACATGAACTTCCTTTATTGTCATTAAATATAACTTTTATCACATAATTTTCATGGCTGCATAATGTTCTGTTTTATGGATAATGTACTGAACCAAATCCACTAATAGACATTTAGGGTTTTTTTTAAATTATTATAGATTATAAACAAGGCTTTAGTGAGTATCCTTTTAGCTAGAACTTTGCATACATCCTTACCAGTATATATGAGTATTCTAAAAAGAGGTAATTGCTGCATCAAAGGGTTTTCACTGTCTATTGTTCCCTGTACAGTTTGCCATTTTTTTTTACCTGTCTCAGTTTAACTCCCTACAAGACATTTAAAAAGGAAAAATAGTAACTTTAGAGTGGAGAAACCTGGTAATACTCTCTTAACCACGTTATCAAAGTGAAAATCACCAATAGGAGGACAAATCAATTTTGTACAGCTCCCTATCTGAAACATTGAGAAGAACACAATATATCTTTTGTGGTGTTCCTGCCCAAAATGCATAATTGATTCTACTCATAAGGAAACATCAGATAAACCCAAACTGAAGATATTTTACAGTATAGTTGACCTGTACTCTTCAAAATGCCACGGTCTCAAAAAAAGATAAAAAGTTGAGGTACCGTACCAGATCTGAGACAAAAGAGACATGACGGCTAAATGTAACACATAATCATGGGCTGAATTTGGGACCAGAAGAAAGAAATGATTTTGCTATTGTGAAAGTTGATGAAATCATTTTCTGTAGGGCCCAGACAAAACAGAGCCAGGAAAGGCACAAAGGAGAGGGCTCAAGCTTGCTTGTCCGAGATAAGACCTGTTTCCAAGGACCTTCTAAAAACCCATCAGAAATACCTTTTCTTCTTTCACGTTCATGCATCTACTGCTTTGCACATATGCACAAGTTTCTGTGATCAAGTTTATCATTAGACATTCTTTAGAACTGCAGTAATTCAGATAAGATTTTCCAAGAAGTTGCCCAGTAATGGCATCTTGAGATGAGCCTCTGAGCAGTGAACTCTGTTTCCAAACAGCTTATGTGAGTCTCTACCTTTTTGCCAATAAAATTTTTCTCTTACCCTTCTCTAGCTGAACACATGGCTTGCCATGTTATGCATTCCAGATTATAATCCTATTTTCTATTCCTGAACAAAATATTTGTGCAGATATTTTTCTCTAACAGATTTTTTCCATGTTAACACTATAAAGGAAATTAGATTGGATTGTATCCTTATGAATTCCCTGATTTTGGCAGTTAGAGGGTAGTGATATCATACACACAAACACATACACATATACACGGGGAGACACAGAGAGGAAATAAACAATGAGACAAATGTGATAGAATGTTAACAATTGGGGAACTTAGGTATACCAGAGTTCTTTATTCAATTCTTGCATCTTTTCCATAAGTTTGAAATTATTTCAAAATAAGAATGTTTTTAAAATTCTTCCTAGATGCTCTTCACCTGCAGGATCAAGTCCAAACCAGGCTCTTTGTGCATATCCCTTACTTAACTCATTAGCCTCATCTCTTATTATTTATGCCTAGGCTTTGACCCTCTAGCAATAGCAAACTGCTTGTGGTTTCTCAAACACACTGTGCTATTTCGTTCTTCCATGCTGTTCTTTCTGCCTGGACTGCTTGTCCTCATTGGATTTCTTGGTGAAACTACTATTTCTTTAAAATGCAGGTTTGACATCACTTTTCCCATAAAATTTTTGCTGACCTCTTCAGCTCTAGTTAATCAGTGCCTCCTCTTTGCAACCTCTAAACCAAGTACAAAGTGCTGCTGTTGCAATTAACAATAATTTTAGGTAAGATTTATTAAGGACTTACTATATCCTAGGCATATAGTGAAATGTGAATGTATAGGTACTAATGATTTTAGTTTTAATCCTTGCAACTACCCTATGAGGAAGGTACCAGTAATCTCACTTTTATTTCTCTAGCCCAAGGTCACATAGCCAGTAAGTGACTGAGCCTGGACTTGAGCTCTGGTCTGTCTGGCTACAGATCCCATGCTCTTAATCACTATATTTCATTGTCTTTAATTTTTTTACCTATCTCTCCTACTAGGCTGTGACTTCCTTCTAACAAGAAGTTTAATTTATTTTTCTCTCTTCTTCTAACACTTAACCTGACTATAATACTTGACATAATAGGTGCTCAATAAAATTTTTTCCTTAACCTTTTTGCAAATTATGAATTATTTTAAATATGCAAAAAGGATGTGTGTGGAGAAAGAGAGAGAGAATATCTATTCCATCAGTGAGAACCCAGCAAAAAACAGATGGTATTCTCAAGCTGGGTAATTTGAAAAGAAGAGTTTAAGAAACGGACTATATACCAAGATGTGGACAGGGGCTTGGAAAACATTAAGGAATAATCCAGGACTGGCCAGTTAGCTCAGTTGGTTAGAGCATGGTGTTATAACACCAAAGTCAAGGGTTCAGATAACAGTACTATCCAGTCACCGAAAAAAAAAAAAAAAAAAAAAGGAATGGTCTAATAACTAATAAGTGTTAACAATGGGGCAACATTTCCATTTCTAAGACTGAAGGAGTAATGGGACCGGGCAATTAACAAAATCCAAAGTGAAGTGAGCGAGAGGACCTTCTAACAGGAGGTATGAACTTTGGTGAAGAGATCTGGCCAGCCTAAGGCTACCCTAAAATCAGGAAGCTAGAACCTCATTCTCCTCCCTCCTTCCAGTCTTCTAAAAGCTAGAAGCAAAAGCAGCCCATTGATTTACAGTAGACCACACAAGTCAGCCTCACAGGGTGGAGGGCAGAATTGAGAAGGGTATAAAATGGATCAAGAGGAGCAAATGAAAGATAACCCAGAATAATGTTGTACCCACCACCCAGCTTAAGAAATGAAACATGGCCAATATACTTGAAGTGTACCCCTCCCCCATTTCATCCCCCTTCTTCCTCTCTTGCAAAGAGTTTTTATTCTAAATTTGGTGTTTATCATTCTCATGAATATCTTAAACTTTATAATATATAGTCTTTATCTTGCCTTCATCATTATTCATCATGACAGTGAGATTCATTCTTGCAAGCACTTTTATCTCTATTTTTTTCCCTACCATGTAATATTCTGTTCTCCAAATACACCACAATATTTGCATTCTCCTGCTGAGTTATTTTCCATACTTTCCTCTTACAATCAATGCTGCCATAAAGAATTTTATAATTCTGTATAACACATTATTTTAAAAAGTAACATGAAAAATGAAAAAAATAATAAAGATATGAAAAGGGCTGGTTGGTTAGCTTGGTTGATTACAATGTGGTGTTAAAACACAAAGGTCAGGAGTTCAGATCCCTATACTAGCCAACCGCCAAACAAATAAAAAAAAAATTGCATAGAATTTTCTGACAAGGACTAGAACTTTCCTAGCTCTCTCATATCCTCATACTTGAGAAGCAGCATGATTCAGTGGTATGAACAATAGGTTGGGAGTCAGAAACTGATCCGTGTGTCTAACGCCTAATTTTTTGTATTGTGCAAGACACTTAAAATCTTTGAGCTTTTGTTTCCTCATCTGCAAAATATTGTTATGAAAATAAGGTGAGTTTGTGCCTATGAAAGCACTTTGTAAAGCACCATACCAATGCAAGTTATCTCTGCTTATTGTTTGCCTGCCCTTCTGTAAGGTATGTCCTGTGAAAGCAGGAACCTTGTCTCTTATTTGTTTCCTATTGTATCCCTAGTACCCAGAATGGGGCCTGACAAAGAATAGGCAATGTGTTTATATTAATTG